CCGATTGGTTTACTGTTTTATCTTTTCTCTTCTCTTCGTTGACCGTTTGGTTGAGTTTATTTCGTTCTAATTTTAGGTTGTTTGAAACATGCCTCTTTGATTTTGGAGTCCAATGAATCTTTAGTTAAGCTAAGTTTGTATACGTGAAGGTTATTGTTGCCTGCCTTTTTCCGTTTCTTAGAGTTCAAAAATATTGATGTATGTTGAGTCTCTAAGATTGAATGTACGCTTTGTAGAAATTGGTTTGGCGTATAGATTATATTTGGTAGCCATTACTTGTTGAATATACACTACTTTTGGATTTTCTTGGAGATGTAAAAATTGTAGTGGCCCAAATTAACTTCTCGGCATCGCATTGCATATATTTATCCGGGGCTTGCACTAGTAATATTCTCATGTAGATGCGGTAAAGTTTCAGGCACATATGTTGCTCATGATTGCCTGGGAAGGTTTAACGAGTGTTTATCAAATTTATGTAGCCTTAGGTATGAGGTTTATTACACCATTGCTTGGTTTAGTAGGTTTATTACACCACTGTAGCCTTAGGAAAGTTTAATGAGTGTTTGTTGTTGAAGTTTTGGTAAGTGATATAGTGAAGGTGTCTTGACGAAATTGTTCCTTACCCGAGTTCTTATCTTCTCGACCATAAAATTGCACTAGTATATCCTTGGTGATCCTAACCATAATGTGTTTTGAACGATTTTATTGGCACCTCAATTAACTTTAATTATAGATTTTTTAGGAAGAAAACATCTAGTTACAGTAATAGTTTACTATTGTGAATTTATAATTTGTGCTTTGTCTTCATGTGGTGACATTTTATTTCATCTTTTTGTATTGGTTCGTTATGATCCATTCCTCCGTACTAATCGTTTTCTTCTTATTTTCTTTGCATAAATTCCCTTGGATCGAGTTCTTCGGACTCCTCTTTGCCTTGTATTTTAAGTTAGGGTTGAAACCCAATGCTTTCCCTATTTTTTGAGTCAGCCCCCTATACATTCGGAAGCTGTTACAGGTCATGGAGACCCAACATGTTGCTGAAAATTAATTCAAAGCCCAAGAAATGAGCTGTATACATATTGTATACAGCAGTATACACTCATTATACAGAGAATTACAGATCACAAATGTGAAAATACAGAGATGAGGCGAAATACAGGTGTTCGGAAGCAAGAGATACATGAAAAGAGCCTATACACACGCTGATATACACTCATATACATCAGGTGTATACAAAAAGGGGAATTGGGTTAAGCTCAATAGTAGCAGCGAATTTGGCCCAAAAAGGGCCCAAATTCAATTTTCTACTTTACCTTAAATTATTTAATTGTCTTTTGTTTTGTTTTTCTTATCATTAACTCTAACTTTATAATTTTTAATTAACTTAACTAGATTTCCCAAAAGATGAGTTATTTTCTTTGTGTCGGTTTAATTTTAATACACTTCATGTTTTCGTGTTCATTTATTTTATTAATCGAGTATATTGATCAAAATTTTATATCTTCAATTAAGTTAAACCTTTTTGTACTTAAAAGAGATGTTCTTTAATGTGTTTCGCTTAATCATATTTTACTCATTTTAAAATTATTTTAAGTTAAAATATTTTTCTCAAATAAACTTTAAAAATGTTAGTCAAAACCTTTTCAATTAATTAAAAATAATAATACTCCCTCCGTCCCTTTTTAGTTGTCCACTTTAGAAATGGCACACAGATTAAGGCAACAATGATTAGCACAATGAAGTTACAATTTTACCCTTATGACAACTTTTCACTTCAAAATTACAACCACTTATTTGAATTCAAGTGAAATAAATTGGAGGGAAACAACATACACTTTTACAATTTTCAAGAAGTGTAAGTAAGGGTATAATAGGAAAAAATTTGTTGTCCTTTCTTGATTTGTCAAAATGGACAACTAAATAGGGACAACTAAAAAAGGAAATATGGACAAGTAAATAGGGACGGAGGGAGTACTTACTTAGTCATTTTCTCAAAAAGTTTCTTCAATTAATTTAAAATGATTTTCATGCTTTAATTTATTAAATTGGTTTAAATTATGATTTCAAAATGAATTAAATAAATTCTAATTAATCTAGTTTTATTAATTTTCTAATTACTTGTATTTCGAGTCAAATGTATCATTTTGGATCCCTTCCTCTAAAAAATAAAATGAAATAAAATGTGTCATTTATTTAATTATTTTCTCAAAGTTAGCCAAATATTGTAAATTATTTTTTATGTTAAATCACCTTTTTTTTCCCCTAAAAATAGTCAAAAAATATATTTTAGTCAAATCGCAGGTCAACCGCATGTTAGCGGGCACTTCGAATGCTTAAACCTTTCTCGAAGTGTAAATTGAACCTCGAAACCTCTTTGGTATTTTCAAATGATTTTTTCTGTTTAAATCTTTGAAAATTATAAGTCTTCTTAATTTCTTTAAAAAATTAAGTGGCGCCTCTTTTCCAAGTATTTTTCTCAAATTGTTTTATACTTGGACCATTTCAAAAAGTAATTTTTTCTAAAGAATACAGTAAAATTACGGCACAATAAGCATATCAAAACAAATATTAAGGAAAACATGACATAACATTCTAGAGCAAAAAGAAGGAACATTAACTGCAATAAAATAGTGCGATAACCGAAGTACAAGAGATAAAAGAATTTTGACGAAAATCGGAGGACAAGAAACTATAGGAGAAATTCTACTACCTACTAATTATAACCTTCTACTCTAATCTGTGTCTTCCACAATAAGTTGCAATTGTGTCATCTTATCTAATCACCTCTCCCTAATGCTTCTTCGACCTACCTTTACGTCTCCTGAAACCATTCATAACTGACATCTCACCCACCCGCTCTAGAGTATCCGTACATCTCCTCTTCACATGTCTGAACCATCTCAACCTTATTTTTCGCATCTTGTCACGAGTGCCTTTACTTATAATTTTATTTCTCCTAGTTGCCCACACATTCACCGAATCATTCTCATCTTGCAACTTTTATTGTCTAAACGTGAGAGTTTTTATTAACTGGCCAACAACTCGCCCTATACAACTTAGTTGGTCTAACCATAATTAGACCTATAAAACTTGTCCTTAGGTTTTGGTGACACCTTTTTGACACACAATACTCCGGATAGAGCAGTCAAAACGGGCTTTGCCCATGAGGCCGGCCCAACTCAACCCGTTATTAGGGTAAGGTTGAGATAAGATTTTTCAAGCCCATTAAAAACTAAGGCTTATAAGCCCGACCCATATAAGTCTTTTGCCCTTGAGGCTTGATCGGGTCCAGGCCGGGGTCGGCCCATGGGCCAAAACTTTTTATTTAAGGGTAACTTACAATAATCTCACTAGTATATAATCTAATTACTTAAATATACGCTATGTTGTAATATTATGAATCTTACCAGATTTTGGTGCGTCCAAATATATGTATCTCAGAATATATGGACTTAAAATTAGGTTAATATGTTCTAGATACATTCTATCCAAGTAGATTTGCTTGTATCTAGGATGCATAGACAAATCTCGCGCCCTCGCCTCCCTCCAATCTTGCTTGTCACTCTCTTATCTCGCTCGCGTATCTGGTATATGCGAGCTACATGCTAATTACACTAGATTTTTTGCTATGTTATTAAAACAACACCATTGTTTGCCATGTTTGATTTGAAAATCTTCTCATTTTCTTGATGTTATAGAATTATAAGTTTGAAAAGAAAAAAATAAAAAAAATGAAAAAAAGAAGGGCTATCCCACCCCAGCCCTCGACCTTTCTAGGGTTGGGTTCGGTTGAGCATTTTCAGGCCCTTCTAAATGAAGGACCAGCCCGCCCTAGCCTTTCAAATTCCTTGGCCTGTGAGGCTTTGGCCAGGTGGGGCTGGGCCAGTCCATTTTGATAGCTCTAACTCCAGACAAAAATCTTCGTTTCATCTACCCCTGCACATGTCAGAAATCAGGTCATGGGTCAGGTATTAAGATCGGGTCTCATACCAATTGTTGGGGTCAGGTCTTGGTTCGGAAGTCGGGTTCGGTTCGGGTATCGATTTAAAAGTCAGATTCAGGGTCGTGTCTTGGATTAGTCTTCAGGTTTGAGTCTCGGATCAGGAGTCGGAAGTTGGGTCGAATCTTGAGTCAGGGTTGGGTCCCTCTTATAAAGTCAGGTTTCGAATTGGGTGTTAGGATCGGGTCTTGGTTAGAAAGCTGGGTCCTAATTCAGATGTTGAGTCTCGATTTGGGTATTGATTCTTAGGTTAAGGAGTTAAAAGTTAGTTTTCAAATCGCGTGTCGAAGTTAGATCCCAACGGGTCATCGAGGTTATGTCTAGATTAGAGTGTCAGAGTCGGGATCAGTTGTCGTAGTTGGATCTCGATTCAAAAGTCGAGACCCGAGTTGGGAGTCGAGGTCGGGTTGGGATCACTTGTCGAGGTCAGGTGTCGGGAACAGATCCCAGGTCGGGTCCCAGTTCAATTATCGGGGTTGTATTCAGGTTTGGGTGTCGCGGTCGGAGTGGAGTCCCAATTCAAATGTTAAGTCCCGCGCAAGAATCGGGGTCGTGTCTTGGGTCGGATCTTAGATGAGTTGTTGGGGTCGTGTCCCTCTTCAGGTGTCGGGATCAGAGTAAAGTCCATGTTCGAATATCGGGTCTCAGGTTGAGAATCGAGGTCACGTCTCTGATCGAGTGTCTGGGTCGGATCCCAAATCGGTCATCAAGATCGTGTCCAGGTTCGAGTGTTGGGATCAGGTCCTGAATCGGTTATCGGGGTTGGTTTGCGGGTCAGAAACTATTTTCCTAAAAGTTATTTTCTACTCTCTAGCCAAAAATATTTTCTTCATTCACCAACCAAATATTAGACAATATTTTTCAATCACCAATCAAACATGAGAAAATAAGTCAGAACCAAATGATTTTACGAGGCCATTATAAACTTTCTAATCTCTATTGTAGCAGACTACAATTACAAAAGGATCAGAAGGATAATGAATTTAAACATTATATTTTCCTAATTAATATCATTTATATATGATGATACATCAAAATCAAAGCTGAATATAGACAAATCTTCGATATTATCCTCTGGTTGCCAACTATTGCTTGCTCCAAAGTCATCTAATCCGAAAGCACCCAAGTTTTGCTCCTTCCAAATTCCATCTGATCGAATCTCGGAATTTGTCTCTGAGTTCTGCAGCTCAATTTGCTGGTCGTATGCATATGTACAATCAAATTGCTCCTCATTCTTTGCATAGTTTAGCTCAGAAGACTCTTGAGGTACAATGAAATCAAATGATTCTTCTAAAAACCTCTGAAAATCGAAACCTTCATCATGGTTCTCTTTCAAAGAAAATATGTCTGATACATTTGTTGCTTCCATTGAGCAATTATCATCCATTAGAAAATGCTCCATGTATTCTAGACGCGTACTCACATCTTCATTCAGGTTTTCAGAAGACCTGAAATCCAATGGTTGTTCTTGCAATATATTCATCGAGTAATCCATGTCCCGTAGCACAATTTGATCATTGGAGTTGCAAATTTCATCAGACCTCAACAAGTCATCTTTGTTAAACATGACGGTTGGCTTCACGTCTTTTGTGTTTGAGACATCGTTATGTACAAATTCATCCTTGTCAATTTCTTCTTCCATTACAGGTGTCTTAACTTTAACATGAGATTTAGGAATCCTAAATCTCGAATTACACTCCAAATCAATTAATTCTATCTCGCCCGGGATAAGTTGTGATTCCTCATCAGTCAAGCAACGAGCAGGTGAACCTTTATTAGCATAATAATAACTTAAATCTGTACTTACAACCATACCAGCATCATCATCTGGTGTTTTGAAATCCGATTCAATTTCAATCTTTTCTGCATCATCAACAACTAAATCTTCATGATCAACAGACGATTGAACACTCGATTCCAGTGAAGATGTTCGAGTAATGTTACCATTACTCAACGAGTCACAACAATTGGGGAAATTAAGTATGGCATTGGATCCATACATAACCTTAGCAGCTTCATCATAAGCAATAGCAGCGTCAACAGCAGTCGAGTAAGTACCAAGCCAAAGTCTCTTTCCTTTGCTCTTATACTCACCACTAATATAAACAGGCTCGCGAATTTCAGCGACCCATTTACCCCAAGTCCTCTGTCTTACTCCTCTGTATTTACAACCAGAATTCTCAGGACCGCCTTTGCCTGGCATACAACCTTTGTTTGATCCATTACCCGGAGATTTTCTCTTCTTCTTCTTCACTTGTTCATTGTTCGAATTAACCTCCGTATTAAAATTTCTCCATCTTAACAAAATCTCATCTATGGAATCAGATCCATTACGCCTTCTTTTCAGTTTCCTGTTAACACAAAAATCCATATTGTATAAACAGTTTTAAGTTATTTCTTTTGTAATTTTAAGCAAAGAAGGAGAAACAAATACCTAAATCATAAAATAGCACACAATAAATCCAAAATACTGAGTACTACTACAAAGTTGGCAGTTGTTTCTACTTATTTAATTTAAAAATTATAAAAAGTAGATAGAAAAGAGAAAATTAAAGAGAAGAAAATCACCTTCGTGGAATGTGAGAAGACATATCAAAAGGTATATATAATTTATAATTTATATGTAAATAAATAAATGGAAGTTTTGTATTTTGTTTTGGCCAATGATTCTTCGCTATATAATTGTGTTTAATTTGTTAAAATCCTTTTCCTAGTCGAATTGGGATTCATTTTTTAGGAAACGAAATCAGTATAAAAATAACTTGTCTTTATTCTTCTTTTTTTGGTAGTAGCGTGTGCTGATGGTGTGAATTTCTTAACTATATTTACTATCCTTATCTTAGGGTTTTTCCTTGGGGACTAAGTAATTATTAACAAGGAAATGTAGTGCCAACTTTATCACTTTTGGTTATAGCTAGGTTTTGACACAAGTGTCGTATTTCTATATAATTAGAAGAAATAACTTAAAGTATAAAATTCTCATTTATTCTTAGTAAGATTATTTATAACAGGACGCCTTTAGAGACATAAAAAAAAGCATTTTTTCTTAATTATATTGAGCCACCCCTAAATCACAAATATAAAAAGTTTATTTATAACACTAATCTCAAAAATAATATTCTTGCTGATCACGAATTTTGTGTTTTCTGACTCTTTCCACTACTATAGAGATCTTTCAGTTTGTACACCACAATTTTTGCGGCTATTTGTTTCTTGTGAGCAAAGAAAGATTAATATAACAAGGCAATGCCAACAAAAGTTCACATAAAAAATGTGAACTTTACACGCACGGTTGAAAATAAGCAAAGTATAGACAAATAGTACATTTCTTTTGACACACAGTCACACTGACTTGCAGTTTGCTTAAGAAAAAAGAAATATATATAATATGTAATTTCACAAGTGAATTATGCTGAGAGAAGAGTATACGGACTTTTACCTCCTATCTTGGGATCAAAACAAATTTTAAGGAAAACATGACATAGCATTCTAAAAAAAAGGAACAGTAACTACAATAAAATAGTGTGATAATCAAAGTACAAGATGACGAAAATCGGAGGACAAGAAACCATATTAGAAATTCTATGACTACTAGCAAGATAAGGATGAGAAAGACAATGCTCTACTACCTACTAATTATAACCTTCTATCCTAGTCTATGTCATCCACAATAAGTTGCAATTGTGTCATCTTATCTAATCACCCCTCCATAATGCTTCTTCGACCTACCTTTACGTCTCTTGAAACCATTCATAGCTAACATCTCGCACCATCGTATTGGAGTAGCCGTGCATCTCTTCTTCACATGTCTGAACCATATTCTAAACCCTATTTTCTGCATCTTGTCAATGTCTTTATTTATAATCTTATTTCTCCTAGTTGCCCACACATTCACCGCATCATCCTCATCTTTGAATCTTTTATTGTCTGAACGTGAGAGCTTTTATTAACTGGACAACAACTCGCCCCATACAACTTAGTTGGTCTAACCACCATTAGACATATAAAACATGCCCTTAAGTTTTGGTGACACCTTTTTGTCACACAATACTCCAGACAAAAATCTTCTTTTCATCCGCCCTACACAAGTCAGTAGTTAGGTCCTGGGTCAGGTATTATGATCAGGTCTTGATGTTCGATGTAATCAACTGACACTATTTAGGTTCAAGTGCCAAACGATCGCGTGTAGTGATATAACCCAACCAAGGGTTGGGATCGTTCCCACAGGGAGTGGTTTCGAGAATTAATATAAAAGTAAAATTAAGTTCTAACCAGTCATAGCTATAAACATTATCGAATAAAAACATACTAAATCTAAGGGGTGACGCAAACGGCAATTATCAATGTGAGGTTTGTATTAACTATTCAACAAAAAACGACAAAAATATAAAGAAACGAGATATGGAGACGGGATTATTGGGATGTGATAGGAATACGTGATAAACTAGACTATCGGGTACATGTTTTTGATAGTAAATTGTTGAGCATTTGTGACTAGGCTAGACTATAGTGGGGGTAAATTCTCTTTCAAGCAACTTACCCCGGATCAACTCGGTTTCTCCTGAACACCGAGTTGCCGCATTAAGCACAGCCTCCGCCTTAGCCCATTCACTCTCTCGAGCTGAATGTGTGGGAGAAGGACTAGGGTTCACTCTCTCGAGCTTAACCCATGTCGACCCAATACCATCGGCTATCAATTTAGTAGTCTTAGTTCTACTGCCTCTCTCTCGAGCAAGTCAAAAACACTAAGATGAAATCGTATTTGCAACTACAATCCCATTAAGTTCATACACAACTACTAAATAAAATCACATTTGAACAACAAATAAACCATCAACAAGCAAGATCCAACAAATAATTTAACTCATATTCACAAAATCACACCCGAGGAATTGGGGTTTTAGCTAGACATGTAAAAGAGATAAAAATTTATACCAATATCAGTTTCCATCAACTGGGTATGTAGAATTTGTTTTATTTAAAAATATATTTTAGACTGATTTAAGAGTCGCCACTTAATTTTTAAGAAAAATCAAGAAAACTATTATTTTCAAAAGACTAAAACAAGAATCTAGTGAAAACTTGAAAAAAAGGGTTCGAGGTTCCTATTAATATTCTAGGAAGGTTTTTAAAGCACCTAGAATATCCGCTAATGCGGTTATCCAACAATTAGTTTATTTGGCTAAAAGTACTTCAACTTAATTTGAATCGGACAATTTTTATAGTTAGAATCGTTTTAAGAAGGGAAAAGAGAAATATTGACCTTTTATTTAAGCGAAATATTTTGTAAAAAATACTTATTTATTTATTAAGTCAAGTAAGAGATGAACAATTTGGTTAAGTGATTAGTTCAAAATAAGCGTCTTTTAGGGATTTGAAGATTTTAAAACTTTAAGATTAATAGCAAATAATGACGAGTAAATAAACACAACAAAGAAAGGAGGGAAAGAGATTTGGGCCCAAATCTGGTTTTCGTGTCCGCCTGGGCCAGTATTTTGGGCCCATTTTTTGTTTTGGGCCTTTGACCCAAATTTTGCCCATTTTTGTACCTGTCCTAGACTAAATTTCGAAATTTATTTCTTTGGGCCTTAGGCCCATCTTCCACCTGTCCTAAATTCCAACACGATAATAATAAATGAAATGACAAGAGCTTAGGCCCAAAATAACAAAATACAATCTCTTATGAAGATCAGGCCTTCGGCCCAATCTTTTCAATCTTTTGATCTATTTCAAATTCTTTCATCTTCGGGACCTGTACGTCGATTTTAAATGGCCGGTAGACTCGAATAAAGGTGGAACATGGGCCTCCGTGGCCCAAGGAAAGATGCGAAGAGAGAATTCGCGAGGACCCAGACAAATTCCACATGCAAACAAAGAGAAGTGTGAAATTAAAATTCATTTTACAATAATTAAATAGGTCAACAATGAACTGTAGATTAATCCAGAAAATTCGAAATGCAAGGAAAAATGGCATCATTATATGAATAAATACAACTTGTTGGGAATCCCACAGAAGGCACAAATGAACTGAACACATTTTTATTTTTTATTTTTAATGAAGGGCCATATGATCAAATTTCAAGTAATTGATTCAACCTTGAAGAATTTATATAAACCGAGACAACAAAATGTCGAATCCCTATCAAACAAAGCTTTGCGCCAAACTTTAAATAAAAGAAGTCATGACATACAACTGAAAAGAAGCTTATTCCACCAATCATGGAAACGTACATCCCATATTAAAGAATTACTATGAACTAAATAGGATAAATGAGATTACCACACTTTAACTAGCAAATAACATATTGGAAGCTGATTTCTAAGCTATAAAATAATGAACAATTAGCCAATACCTAAAATGACCCTAATCGAAACAACAATTCTACTTTAAGGACAACAATATTCACTGGGTACTTTCGATCAATCACCTAGCTATAATTCATGTTTAAAAACAACTAAAATCTTAATTAAAACAAAATAAAATATCAAATTAAAACAAAATAAAGTAACTGCAGAAGTTACAGTGTATTAAACTTTTAAATTAAAACATATATATATATATATATATATATAAGAACAACTTGTTTAATGCCTATTTCAAGCAAAATGTTCACCCACATTCGATACTTATAAATAGTTTAATAATGTTATGATGAATTTTAATAAAGCGTGATTAAGAGTTAAAGAAATATGTATAAACACATGTCATGTATCTATCAGTTTAATGTAAATATCCAATAAATCTTTATTTACCTGGGGGAGTTAAAAATAAAAATAGAAAAATAAACACTTAAGCAAGTAATTAAGAGTAGTGCATTTGTTAATTGCAAGTAGTTGAAGAATAGTAATACCAAACACACTTCAACTCAAATTTTGATTACGGCAAACTTGAAATAAAAATAACTTATAAAGCATGGTAACAATGCCTACACAACTAACACTATTGGGAAGAAAACTCTTGATTGAAGGTTAGCATGCTATTTCAAACGGATAAGCATATGAAAATCACGGTCAACAGTGCCAACTCTCGCCTGGTAGCCTGCTAGCAGATAAAAAAAAACGGCCAACAACGTGAAAAGGAAAAGGACTAAGGCAACCACACCCTTTACATGTCGCATTAAGGAGACAGAATCACAACTTCACTACCAACAGGACGAGATTAACAGTGGAACAACAAAAAAAAAGAAGAAAAAAAGAAAAGAAAACCCATTCGAAGTCACACAGAGCCATCAAGACTCCCAACAAACAAACTAACGAAGCCACCGAATAGACGACATAAGAGCATCCTACTGAATTTGAAGCTACTAATGAGTTGAGATTTCCATATTTCAGCATTTAAGTAGCTTATAATGACCAAACAGAGAACAACCCACAATTTAAGAAATAAAAGACATAAGATGAAGTGAAGTTTACCTTTCGAAGTGCAGCGAACAAGGGCGAGACAAGCTGATGACCACGATTTTCCGCCACAAAACCCAAATACAAGTGATCGACCGAAAAAAAAAAACTTGAGCAGAATCTAAAATCCGAGGGGACTTGGAGGAAATGGAAGTAAACGAAAGAAAATAATGGCACTCCGATTGGAATCAAGTCTCTCTCTTTTTAGAACGTATTTCGTATGTGTAGCTATTCTATTACGCTATGCTCTTTCTTAGCAAAAGGAAATTTTTTCGGCCCCCCTTCGAACTAAAAGAAAAAGAAGCTTTATAGGAGGAGATTAGGGTTCGGAATGGGGGGAAACAGATAGAAATCCCGATAGAAAAGGGCTCATCCCCATTCAAATTTCAAAAATTCTTTCACAATTAAGGAGAGACACCTTTCCTTGTAATTTTCTCCCCATTCCGAAAGAGGAAAGGGGAAACGTGTGTCTTTGTCCTGCTACGATGCTTTTTCTTTTGCCGAAAAATCTGATTGGAACAGTACCATCGTACTGGATGGAGGAGACGATGCGGGCGTGAACTGCACGCGTAGACGCCGTGTTGCCTTCCACGAAGAAGTCGCGTGCTGGGACTTGGAGGATCGCTGGATTTGACCAAATTTTGATGTCGTTCTTGGCGTTGTTGATGTCGTTTTGCTGGGAATTATTGTTCACGCTGTGAAGGCACCGCTTCTGGGTTCTTGTGAAGGAATAAAAAGTGGGCCGGGTCGAGGGTAATGGGTTGGGTCGGTTGGAATGGAGAGTGGGCCGTTGTACGTATGGAATTGTAGTGTATCTTGGGCTGGATATTATTGTGGGATTGGGAATGGGAATTGGAAGTGGGCCTGTTGGTGCTACTGTACATGCATGCTGGAAATAGTATTGGGCTGCTGAAAAGTGGCCCAAACTTTGGTCTTAAAATGGTTTTAAGGTGAGGTTAAATATGGGTTCGATCTTGGAGTTTAAGAAATAGCCGAATTGAGTTAAATTAACAAATTCGGCTAAATCCTAAGTGAGATGGATTAACATTAATTAATTAACGAGCTTCTAAATTTTGACGAAATAGAATAATTAATTTAATTGCAAACCAATAATTTAAAATTATAACCATAACTTGAATTAGACTAATTTTGTAAAATATTTAAAATAACATTATTTTTTTGTGAGACGATTTCCGAGTATCCATAAAATATACTAATTATATATATAATTACATGAAATATATTTATCATTCAAAGTACTATAAAAATCGACTGAAACTATTTACAATAACCTTGAAACTATTTTGAATTATATAAAGCTAATTATTCTAAATCGTTTGAAAAATTAAGAAGCTAGAAGATCAATTACTATCGGGGAGGGTCAAAATTGGGTGTCAACAGAATTAAGTCTTAAAACACGTTAAGAGTGAAGAATCTTCAAGACCCAAGTCTAATTTCGAAACCCTTTGAATCTTCAAGGTCTTAGAACAAAGTCTCCAAAACCCTCTAAAACTTACTCTCTCAAAAACTGTAATAATAAGTTCTAATAATAGAAGTCATGATGTTCTAGGAATTTAAAACAAGTATTTATAGTTCTTGAAAATTTGTGCTGCGGAGGACAATTCGCAGCAATTAGTCGGGATCGCCGATACATTCGGCGATCCACCTTTTGGTCGATTTCATCGCCTTCCTACTTTATCCTTCAGCCTCCTCGCGTTTTGAGTCGTTGGGCGATATAGTACTGCTTTGCGGAACTGCTCAGTGACGCGCTGACTGCTCCTTATCATCGCAGACTTAACCTTCTCCTTTAGGGCTCAGCACACTGGAATAAAAGGTGATCTTCAGGCCCATCGGCGACTCGCCAACTGGGCTCGGCGATCTTCAGGCCTTCATTTCTTCGTTCTTTTCAGCCGCCTTGTTCCTTCTTGCCAAGTAGTGTCCATGCTTTGTCTTAAATTCTAAATACCCAAAACTTAAGGATTTTCATTAGATATTGAGTCAAAATATGCATTTGAGGATACTAATTCTATCAAAATATAGCATTAAATGAGTCCAAATTGTGGACCCATCAGGTCTCGCATCAAGTGTTAGGGTTAGCTCCTGATTCGAAAATCCAATTTGGGTCAGGGTTGGGTCTCAATTCAAAAGTTAGGTCTCAGGGTCGGGTCTTAAATTAATCGTTAGGGTTAAGTCTCGGATCGAGAGTCGAACGTTGGGGTCGGATCTCGAGTCAGGGTTGGGTCTCTCTTTGAAAGTTAAGTCTCACACCGAGTGTCGAGATCGAGTCTTCGTTAGGAAGTCGGGTCCCAATTCAGATGTCGAGTCTCGATTTGGGTGTCAATTCTTAGGTTAGGGAGTCGAAAGTTAGTTTTTGAATTGAGTGTTGGGATTGGTTCCCAATCGGTCATTGAGGTCATGTCTAGATTTGAGTGTCAGAGTCGGGGTCGGTCGTCGTAGTTGGATTCTGATTTGAAAGTCGAGACCCAAGTTAAGAGTCGAGGTAGGGTCCTGAATCACTCGTCGAGGTCAGGTGTCAGGGTTAGATCCAAGGTCGGGTCCCAGTTCAAAAGTCAGGTATTAATTCAAGAGTCGGGCTGGGTTGGATCTTGGATCGATCGTTGGGGTTGTATTTTGATTCAAAAGTCGAGACTTGAGTCGAGTGTCAGAGTCGAGTCTGAGGTTGAGTGTTAGGGTTGGTTCCCGAGTTGAGAGTCTGGGTCGAGTCTTAATTCAAAAGTCAGGTGTTGGGTAGAGAGTTGAGGTCGGATTCCAGTTCAATTATCGAGGTCGTATTCAGGTTCAGATGTCGCAGTCAGAGTCAAGTCCATTCGAATGTTAGGTTTCGAGCAGAATTAGGGTCAGGATGTGGGTCGGATCTTGAGTCGGATCCCAAATCAGTCGTTAGGGTCGTGTCCTTATTCGGATGTCGGACTCAAAGTAAAGTCCTTGTTTTTCTTCGGATGTCGGGCTTAGAGTAAAGTCCCTATTTGAATATTGGGTCCCAGGTTGAGAACGAGGTCAGGTCCCGAATTGTTCCAATATCGGGTCCCAGCTTGAGAATCGAGGTCAGGTCCCGAATTGGGCATCGGGGTCGGATCCCGAAATGGTCATCAAGATTGTGTCCCAATTTGAGTGTCGGTATCGGGTCCTGAATTGATTATCGAAGTTGGTTTGCAGGTCAGAAACTATTTTCCTAAAAGTTATTTTCCACTCTCTAGCCAAAAATTATTTTTTTTTCATTCATCAACCAAATATTAGAAATTTTCTCTCACCAATCAAGCATGAGAAAATAATTTAGAAAACAACTTGTTTTTCGAGTTCATACGAAGACCATTATAATCTTTCTAATTTATGTTTCTAGCAGACTATAGTTACAAAAGTATCACAAGTATAATGAATTGAAACATTACATTTTCCTAATTAATATCATTAATATAGGATGATATATCAAAATCAAAGTTGAGCATAGACAAATCTTCGATATTATCCTCTGGTTGCCAACTATTGCTTGCTCCAAAGTCATCTAATCCGAAAGCACGCAAGTTTTGGTCCTTCCAATCAGCCTGGTTACTTATTATTCTATCTAATCGAATCTCGGAATTTGTCTCTGAGTTCTGGAGGTCAATTTGCTGGTTGTATGCATATTTACAATCAAATTGCTTCTCATTCTTCGCATAGTTTAGCTCAGCAGACTCTTGAGGTACTACCATTGGCTTGAAATCAAATGGTTCTTCTAAAAACCTCTGAAAATTGAAAGCTTCATCATGGTTCTCTGTCAAAGAAAATATGTCTGATATATTTGTCGCTTCCATTGAACAATTATCTTCCATTAGAAAATGCTCCATGTATTCTAGACGCGTACTAACATCTTCATTCAGGTTTTCAGAAGACCTGAAATCCATGTCTTGTAGCACAATTTGATCATTGGAGTTACAAATTTCATCAGGCCTCAACAAGTCATCTTTGTTAAACATGACGGTTGGCATCACGTCTATTGTGTTTGAGACATCGTTATGTACTAATTCATCCTTGTCAATTTCTTCTTCCATAACAGGTGTCTCAATTTTAACACAAGATTTTTGCGATTTAGGAAAAAATCTCGAATCGCCCTCCAAATTGGTTAGTTCTATCTCGGAGTTCTCCTCCGTGATTACTTCCAATTCCTCTTCAGTCCAGGAACAAGCAGGTGAACCATGATTAGCATAATCATAACTTAAATCTGTATTTACAACACCACCACCATCATCATCGTCTGGTGTATCTGATGTTTTCAAATCAGATTCAATTTCAATCTTCTCTGCATGAACGACTAAATCTTCATGATCAACAGACGATTGACCACTCGATTCAAGTGAAGATGTTCGAGTAATGTTACCATTACTCAACGAGTCACAATAATTGGGGAAATTAAGTATGGCATTGGATCCATACATAACCTTAGCAGCTTCATCATAAGCAATAGCAGCGTCACCAGCAGTCGAGTAAGTACCAAGCCAAAGTCGCTTTCCTTTGCTCTTATACACAGGCTCGCGAATTTCAGCGACCCATTTACCCCAAGTCCTCTGCCTTACTCCTCTGTATTTACAACCCGAATTCTCAGGACCGCCTTTACCTGGCATACAACCTTTGTTTGATCCACTGCCCGGAGATTTTCTCTTCTTCTTCACTTGTTCATTGTTCGAATCAACCTCCGGATTAAAATTTCTCCATCTTAATAAAATCTCTTCTATCGAATCAGATCCATTACGCCTTCTTTTCAGTTTCCTGTTAACATAAAAATTCATAGTTATATGAACAGTTTAAAATTAGGGCAAACTTCGTCAAATAATTACAATAAAAATTAAAACTAATTATAAATTGAGAATACTAAGTACTACAAAGTTGGCAAGAGAAGAAAATCACCTCTGGGAAATGTGAGAAGCCATCAAAGATATATATAAATAAATAAATGTTTGATTGGAAGTTTTGTATTTTGGTTTGGTCCAATGAATAGTCGTTTTTACGAATGTTCTTGTTTGTTGTGTATTTATACCGTTGTTTTTGACTTGTTGAAATCCTTTTCCTAATTGAATTTGCATTGGGATTCCTTTTTTGGTAAAAATTAAATAAATAAACAAATAACGTGTTTTTTTTTTGGTAGTAACGTGTGCTGATGGTGTGAATTACTTAACTATATTTACTATTCTTATCTTAAGTAACCAATTAATTAAGGGATTTTCCTTGGGAACTAAGTAATAGTACCAAGTTTATCTCTAGGGGGTGACTGACTTTTTTAAAAATATAGATTTCTTTTAGTATAGATGGTAGGTTTTTATATAAAATTATATAGATTTTTAATTTTAGAAAAATAATTTTAAAATATTAAATTATACCGATTAAATTTATATGTTAAAAGCAAGTTTAAAAATAATTTTTGCCTTTGTGCCTAGGTGATGGAAACCACGACAAGCCAACCGATTAACATTCATTAGTCTCAACTACACAGACTATAATGTTAATTCATATTACAGAAGGTAAATTAATTCGTAGCATCTCGGATAGTAACTTAATACTTAATCTACAAGAAAATTCAATAGCCTTGTATTGTATGTATAGGGGTGTAAAAAAATTGAACCGATTGATAAATTGAATCGAAAAAAATACTATTAGTTTAAGGGTATTTTTAATGGTTTTTATAAAAAAAATTATCGGGTTATCGATTCGATATTAATTTTTAAAATTGGGTTATTGGTAAATCAATAACCCATTAAGACTAATAATTTACTACTTTTACTTGTACATAAATATTAAATATTAATCTCAATACCTTACTAGTTATTGTCTTTGTCTTTCAGCCTTCAATTTACTCTTCATAGTGGATTTGAGTTTACAACAACTTAATTTCTCTTTGTATTATATTTGTATAGTTCTTTTCATGTTTGTTTTTACGGAAAAGGGTCAAAATTGCCCCCGAACTATATGAAATAGACCATTTATACCCTTTGTTACATTTTGGGATAAAAAATGCCCTTGCTGTTATCCTAAGAGACCACAAATATCCTCAAGAGTTAACACCCCAAATTTTTGTTGACATGGCAAGCCACGTGGGACTAATCCTTCCACCTAAGCGTTGCCAACTAGGATTCACTAAAAGAACTAGACCTTTAGCGGCAACAACAGTCGCCACAAAAGCCCAGAAAATCGTCACTAAAAGTTTTTAACATTAAATTCTAATTTTGTGTTTTTTTCTTCATTGTTTTTAAAAAACCAAATATGATATCGATTAAGTAGGAGTTTGAAGACACTATATGTTTTATTTTTATGTCATATGTAAATGTATAAAATGTACAATGATGCATTATATATATAGTAGGAGATTTGAATCGAGAAGTAATTTTGATTATTTTTCGTAATAATATTGGATGCTTTTAATATGGATATTGCAAGTTATTTATTTTAGAAAATTAGGTCACAATCGAAAATTAATTATCATATTTTTTCGTTGAAAAAATAGGTTTTACTAGCGAATGGTTGTTGGAGCCTTAGTCACCACTAAAAATCACTCATAACCTTAAGTGACAATATTTTAGGATTTTGTGGCGACTTTATCGCCACTAAAAGTCAAGTTCTTTTTGTAGTGAATCTTAGTTGGCAATGCTTAGGTGGAGGGATTAGTCCCATGTGGCTTGCCACGTCACTAAAAAATTGGGGTGTTAACTCTTAAGGGTATTTGTGGTCTCCTGGGTTAACTGCGGGGGTATTTTTGATCCCAAAATGTAATGGAGGGTATAAGTGGTCTATTTCGCATAGTTCAGGGGCAATTTTGACCCTTTTCCGTTGTTTTTATTGTTTCTATTTTATGAGTATTTGCAAAGTTATATTATTGTGTTGTCGCGTCAAATTTATTAGAGAAGTCATATATTTATTTTATAAGTATTTTTCTTATTGGTTAAACCAAAAATCCATAAACTGAAAATTGATAATAAAAAAAAAATATCTTATTGATTTGATTATTGGTTTAACGTATTTAAAAATCGAAAATTGAACCGAACCGACCAATGCACACTCCTAGCCTTAAATAACAAGTTATAGAGTATTAGATATTTTTTCTTTTAAGATTTAAATTTTTCTTATTGAATATTCAATATTAGTAGATTCAAATCTTAAGTCTTGTCTTGATTAATTTTGTTACGTGTGATCTAATTAAATTGTTTTGCTCGAGTGATCTAATTATTTTGTTTTTGCTTAACATTATTTTTACAGTATTGTAAAATAATATGATGGAACTCTATTGTTATTATCTTCCGTGTTTTCTACTTGATTCGCCACCTTTTAAATAATTAAAATATCTAAAAAGTTTTTGTCAAGTCTCATAGAATTATGCATAATATCATGTTTACAACTACACAAATATATAAGATTTGTTTCAATCATGAATTTCAAAAGCTTTTTATTCATTTTAAATTGTATGTCAAATTAAACAGTATCACAAAAATTGAAACGAAATATATTTTCTAAATTAAAGACAAAAAAATTTATTATCTTTTGATGCTTTGGTGGGCTCCTGTCCATTTTCTTGGTGGCCACGAATTTTGTGTATTCTTTGATTCTTTCCACTTATGTAGAGATCTTTCAGTTTCTACACTACAATTTTGTGACTATTTGTTTCTTGTGCGCAAAGTTAATGCCAAAAGGCCACATAAGAAAATGTGTAATACTCTCTCGATTTCATTTTATTTGATCGATATTGACTTGACATAATTTTATGTGACTTACACACAAAGAAAGATAAGTATAATAAGACAATGTCAAAAGGTCACCAAAAATGTGTAATTTACTTGCATGGTTGAAAATAAGTATATTTATAAGATAAAAGTCACAAGTAATGTGATTGAACCAAATTTAGTTAATGAATAAGGGTCAAAAATATCTTTTAACGTATAAAAAATGACTTATAAATATCCTCTATTTATTCATTGATTTATAAGTATCTCTAGCCTGTTTTATGGGCTAAAGAATACCCCTCAAATTATCACACTATATATGAACTTTCACTTGTTGGCATGAGTTCGATGTCTCGTGCTGTCGTCATGCACCTTATATTCTCCTTCCCCATTTTTCATTCCCCTATCCCCAATTAATTTTTAAAAAAAATGCTATCGAATTTAATTAAAATTTACCATCTTTGATTTGAAATGTCTATCAAATTGCTTAATACAAATTGGGAAATGCTAAATGGCTAGAAAATTTAAAAAGTGTATAATATCTTTTTCATTTTAAAATAAATTGATTTTTTTTTTACATTTTTTAGTTAAAAGATATTAAAGTTAAAAGGGTAAAATAACATAGATAAAAATCATTCTGACCAAATTCTGGCCAAATTTTCTGACGAAAAGAATTTTTCCATACAAATTTTAGCTAAAAGCACACCCTCTTTACTACTTTGTTTTTCTTCTCATCTTTAGAACAGATTAATTAATTGGAGAAATGTGAATTAATCATGCCTAAGGTTTAAAAAAATAATTGGTAGGAGATCGGCTATGTTCTGAGTAACGATTATCCCTAATTTTCTATTACAATTGATATAAAGCGATTTGTTGTATGAAAAAGTGATTTATTTTATTGTTTATACAAAGTGAACTATTGTATTTACTTACCTTATTTGTATATTCGCAATGGATAGAAATATACAAACTACAGTCTCCATAGAAAACGGAATTATAACTAGGGGTGTATAAAACCGAACCGAAAATCGAACCAAACCGCAAATCGAGTCAAACCGGAAAAAAAACCCAACTATATTTGGTTGGTTTGGTTTCAACTAAAAAAAACCAACCCGACATTATATATATAATTTTAAAAATTTATTTTATACGTAAAAATATTTACTTTGATATAATTTTTAAATATTTCTTATACTTTTTCATAGTTTTTATCTTTTAACTAGATAATGTTGCCCGTGCTATGCACGGCCCAATAATATAAATGGTATGTTTTGGGGCTAATAATCGAGTTTTTGAAGCGATTGTTTACGTGGATAAAGGAATAAGTTTTTTTTTCACAAACCTGTACTTTCTTTGACGCTATTTAAAGCATAATAAGACTACCCACATACAACATTTTTTAAATATTTTATGTTGTCAATTATCATGATTTATAGTATTTTTACGCAATTTTTAAATATAAAAAAACTAAAAAAAATAAGACAAATAAATTAAAATGGACCCAATATATGTTATTTTTGTTGTCTCAATTTATGTGACACAAATGAAATTTGGAGAGTCATCCAAATTTTCATTTTTTTTAAAAAATATTTTAAGTTATTAATTATTGTGCTTTATAATATTTTTATGTAACTTTCAAATAACGTACATTACTGGTCACTTTGTCCTAATTTATGTGATATGGATAAAATTACAAAATTAACCCTTTTAAAATGTCTTTCAGATATTTTAAGTTGTTAATTATTATTATTTATAATACTTTTTTGGTAATTTTAAAATCATATGTATTATTTTTTCTGTCCCATTATATGTGAGCCTGATAGAATTCTGAGAGTCAACCTATTTTATTATATAGCTTTTAAATATTTTAAATTGGTAATTATTGTAATTTTTAATGCTTTTTAAGTCATTTGTAAATGATATATGTTGCTTCCTTGATTGAGACTTTTCCATTTGTGAGATATATTTATATATATTATTTTAAAAGGGAGTTTATGCCCAAGTATAATATATAATATTCAAGATTGGGATTTTTAAAAGGGAGTGTCCCAATCTTGAATATTATATATTATACTTGGGTA